AAAAAAAAAAAAAAAAAAAAAGTTGTGGTATTTCAATTAGAAACATTACAATTCATTAGTTTTAACACTATTTCCATTCTTCTTGTTTAACAGGCACTTAACTTTTTTTTTTTTTTTTTGGATAATGTGGAAATAACGCTCCTCAGAACAGGCCCTTTCATTGTACTTACAGCAGTTCTGCTGCATTTCAGCTGTCTCATCACTGCTGCCTTTTCTGGAGTCTTTAACACAGCTGCAGAGGCTGCACGCTAGGTCGTACACGTTCATATTGACTGTGTTAATCCAGCCGTGACCTGAGGGAAACTGACCTGTAAAAATCACTGAACTTGGGAGTTTTATTATTTATCAGGACTTTGTCAGATCAGTTCCGTGTTTCCTTAAACGCGCTCGTACAAACATTACTTCAGAGAGGTATTACATTGCAAATAATCAATTTAATTTTTATCTTATACTCTGGAGAATTTTGGAGGTTAATCTGAATTTTATAGCCCACCCTGTGCTCATCACAGGGCCAAATTCAATTCCCACTTAATATCAGTAAAGATTTTTTTCAACATACTTGAATAGAAATTGGGTCTGAATGACTCTGGCCCTATTTTTAAATTTAATATTAAGTTGATATTCATTATTTGTAACTTCTAGTTAATGGATTTCCCAAATCTACAAGCACAATCTGTACAAGCACAGTCTTTAAAAGCGTTGTGGGTATAAGCCTACTTCCTTTCTGCAAAATAAATCCATGTCTTTATCTTTTTCAAAAGAAGATCTCCTGGGTGGCCTCTGCTGAGATGAGGTGGGAAGCAAAATCTGAGTATCAGCTTAAATCATTCATCTGAATTCGCCTTAACAGCCATAACCAGCATTAGGCAAAGAGTGTTCCAAACAGACAGGATGGTAATTAGGGAAATTTGTTCCAGGAAATGTTTAATATAGAATTTTCAATGTATATTCCTAAAGGTGTATAAGCCAACAGTAAAACAATTGCTTAAAACAATGCCCTCAAGAAAAGAATTGTAAAAAAAAAAACCCAACTCAAATTCTCTCTTAGGGACCCGTACTTCTGGAGAGCTGTTTTGGGTGCGCATAACCTCTGGAAACTCGGCGAACACGCAGCAAAAAGAAATATCAGAAGGATCACAGTGCACCCAGAATTTCAGACAGAAACATTTGAAAATGATATTGCGTTATTTGAGCTCCGCTCCGCAGTACGTTACAGCAACTACATTCAGCCAATCTGCCTCCCCCCTACCCACCTTTACCGGTACCTCGACAACGAAACAGAATGCTTCATCAGTGGCTGGGGCCGTACAGCAGAAAAAGGTAAAAAAAAATATTTGCCTTGTTGATCAGCTTACAAGCTACGTAACTAATACCAGGTTCCAGTCCCTCAAGCTCACCGAGAACTGAGTTTGGTCAGGTGATAGTCTGATCACACAAAATCATTAAGTCTTCCTGCAGCCGAGTATCTGCTTTCAGTGTTTTTTTTTTCACTGCAAGCAGATTAGATCTACACGGGTGGAACCAAAGGCACAAGTTTTCTGGCCTTGCTTCCAAGCAGAACACAAAAAAAAGGAAAATAAACCAGCCTGACTTTCAGATTCGTGGTACAGCTACTCAATGTTGTCTGCTAGAAACAGCTTTTTCATTGAAAAACAATTCTGATGCCGAGCACTGTGGACTCAGAGGTCCCCATGTACTTTATGAATGGCTGCACTCCCCCAAATTCTCTCTTTAATCACAACGAGCACAGACTTGGCACGATGGCAGCTGGTGCTGTGCATCTTTCTTATGTGGCAACTTCAGAGGCAGCTGGGGACGGTACAAGCTTGGTCAGGAAGTCACCTCTGACATTTTGAGCACGGCAGGATTGTTATTATTGATGTTTCTTCCGAATAGGAATTGCAAAAACTACATCAAACCCCAGTCTGCAAATCCTTAGCCCACTTTAGTTTAAATCCATTAGAAGCAGGCACAAGCTATAACGTGTACATGCCAAAACACACACAGAAACAGGCTGAAGGGAGCTAAGCAGGGAAAAAGGCACAGGAAGAACTGCTGCACGCATCGTGTTTTACCTTTCTATGTGCTGTCTCCCATTAAAGGCAAAACGTCGCCCGTGTTAAAAGAAGCACGAGTGGAAATCATCCCCTCCAGCATCTGTAACGGCTCTGACGCGTACGGGGGGGTCGTCAACGACAACATGATCTGTGCTGGCTCTCGCTCAGGGGGAACCGACACCTGTCAGGTAAAAAGGAGCCGTCCCCGACCGGCCCCCCTGGAAATCCCCCAGCCAGAGTCCCAGGGGCATCGTGACCACCAGCATTTGTAGCGTAATTCGTTAAAACGGCACAAATACTAAACAGAAAACACGTTAACCTGCAAAAGCAGCATCATAAATAGAGAGGTGAGGTGGGGATTCCAAAGAAAAAAACCACATCTCAAAAACACAACATGAAGAATTCGGAGGAGAAGAATAAATTCACAAAGTAAAAGGATAGAGGACACAAACGTATTTACAGAACACTTGCCACAAAGATGTCAATAAATTATGTCTTGCACAACCCTGCGTACGGCTACACACAGGTGTAGGGCGTGTGAAGCACATGAGCATCTCTCCTGTTTCCACACTGGTGAAAGAGCAGCAGCACTGGAAAGCGAGAGGGCTCAGTGACGGGGCAAGACTGCAGCCAAACGCTGAGCAATCAGCATCTCTTTCTCAGAAAAGACAATTCTCGGGTCAAAAGCGCTCGCATGCAAAAGCTGGGGCACCAGCTGTGATGTGGAGACATTTATAATTAAATACCATCACATATTCATAAGTGCTCTGTCTGATACACTTCCTGCTCTCCTCAGCAGTTTCCCTCTAAGTAGGTGACATGGCAAAGATTCAGGGTTGTGTAGTCATCCCCGGGTTTTTGGGTACTTACACACGTTGTGGATGATTATATTCTCATATTAACTGACAAGTGAAGTTTAGGGAGACAAGCCTTAGAACAAAAAAGTGCAGAAAGAAAAACAACAGAACTGCTGTAGGCATGGTATTCTAGGCAAGGTGCTATCACCCAGCATCACTGAATTTTCTCTTAATTCGTCCGTGTACTGCTACCCGTGTATGACTGTCAGTGTTGTTGTCCAGTTGGCTGATGAAAAAAAGTTAAAAAAACCCCAAAAGTGGGCACGCTACTGACTTAGCTCTGTGTCGTTTCCTGGGAGGGAATAAACGTTCCCAGGTTTTTGTGTTGTTTCCTTGCAGGGGGACAGTGGAGGGCCTTTGGCGTGCTATCACTCCAGCACCAACACGTACTACCTCATCGGCATTGCCAGCTTCGGAGTTGGCTGCGGCCGATCCAGATTTCCCGGGATCTACGTCCGTTTGTCTCAGTACAGAGAGTGGATCAAAACTCAACTTCTGCTGCGTAACGCGGCCGTGAACCCCGTGAGCGCGGCCCTCGCCCTCCTTCTGGCTGTGGCGGGCGCAGGGCTTGCGTGGAGCTAAAGGGACAAACCATCGTGTCCTCGCCGCGGAGGCCTGGTCTCCCTGTTAAAAACTTTGAAAAGAGAGATGAGGCCTGTTTCAGAATAAATCTAAGAGCCGAAGGACACACCTGTGTGATTCCGAAGTCGTGTTTGCAATTGCGTTCTCTTTTTCGGTTCGTCCTTGAAGTCCGCACTAACAACAGAGGAAACAATAACAACCTTGACCCTAAATAACGAAATTGCATACAGAAACGTCACCAACGAACCGTTTTCCTACCCGCTCCCTGCTTCGCCGGCTCCAGGGCACTACTTACTGCTGCCACCGGGAGCTGGTAGATGGCAGAGACACTCCCTCTGCTGGGTGAGCACGAGCAGAGCACAGAAAGTCTTTCCATAGTGGCTCAGCTCACAAAAAGGAAAAAAAAAAACCAAACCAAACCAACCCTGCAGAAAGATAAAAGGGATTCTCCACTAATTATCTGTAGGGATGACTCAAATTTACGCACAGCTAACTGAGCGCTCGGGTAGAAGATCTCTGGGTGCTGCTTCGCAGACTAAATATTTATTCCTGGCCACCGTGGGAGACCTGCTACCACATCCCATCTGCAGAACCTTGTTGGTTAAAAAGAAACAAAAGAACATCAGAATTATATTTTGGCGACTTTATTTACCAAGGTCAAAATTTGCAACCATCTAATTGTTTCAACAAATATTTACAGTTCATAGAAAGCATGTACTTTTGTTTGGAAATAACCAGCAGAACAGTATTAGGTACTATATCTCTTACTCTCAGGATACAGGTTTTTACTCTCTTACAATCTAGGTTTTGAAGTAAATCCAAAATAAGTACTTCATGATAAGTGATTACTTAAAGAGCAAACTCATGTTACGGTTTAATATTTCCATGATGAAAAATAAGCTGCTCTTTCCAAAACACTATTTTAAGAGGATAAAAATTTACTAACGTTATGTCTGGCAGCACTACATGTGTTTCACTTGCTGAATACAGAAAGAATTGGCCACCATTTTTTTTTTTACAGTCTTAACACTTGACAGCTTTTTTTTTTTTTATTTTATTATTATTATTCCGTATTACAAGAGAAGGTAAAGGAACAACAGCACACAGTGAGGAGCAAAATACCATACAGAGGAGTTACCAAATTAGTTTCAGTACTGTAGGTCAAACCCTCCTAAACATAAACCAGAGAGCATACACACCCCTGATGGGAGACAGAGAGGGAAGGTCCAATCCTGCGAGGTGCTGAGCACGTTCCAAGCTGTTCATTTCTCCTGAAATCCCACTGAGAGGAACAGGAGGCACCGAGCACCTCTCTGGAGCAGTTCCCACATGCAATGACTTTCTCGACCTTGCTCACGATTTTTGACGGGCAAGGAAAATGCTCTTTTTTGGACATGGTCGTGACCAGAAATGTCTTACTCCAGTTTGGCCTAAAGGACACGTATCGTGGACCATGTCCAAAACAGTCGTATATTTAGAAACTTCAGAAAAAAAAAAAAAAAAAAAAAAAAAGTATTTTTATAGCCCACTAACAGTGTGATTGTGGAATGCAGTCTTTCTCATACCGTTTGCAAAGAGCTCTGCTTGCTAAGTCCATTAATTCGAAAATGAGTAAAATAAAAAATACTGACTGACCATATGATAAGCGTTACACATCTAGGGAGTGAGTACATCTGTTCATTTCATCCGGATCTGAGCTAGCACGACACACACACGGAGCTCTAACACCTTTTTTTAACAGCGTAGTCCATAGTGCAAATTCCCGCTGACATAACTGGAAGCAGGATTCAATCCTAACTATGGAAAATAGTGTATTTATTATTCATGCAAAAAAAAAAAAAGCACTGCATACACATGTTTCTACTTCACAGAATCACAGACTGGTTGAGGTTGGACGGGACCGTAGGAGGTCACCTCGTCCCAGCCCTGCTCGAGCAGGGTCACCTAGAGCAGGTCGCCCAGGACCGCATCCAGACGGCTTTTGAGTATCTCCAAGAATGGAGATTCCACACCCAAAAGAGTCCTGATCATGTCAAACGTTTAATTTTTCACCTGAAACAAAATCATACAAACTAGAATCTCTGATAGCAATCAGATCTAATGTGCAGATATTATCAACTGTGGGGAATAAAAAGCCCTGATGCCTTTTTTTTTTTTTTTTCTTTTTTTTTTTTTTTCCCAATACTCTTTAGGATCAGGTTTGGTTTTTTTTTGCAAGTTGCCTACAGACATACAAAATTAATTCAAATATCTCCTACACCAAAGAGGATCTCATTTGACTTTGTACTATCCATAAAAATATATGCTTGAAAATCTGGTTCACAAAATATTTCATTTGTTTACTAAAATGAAATATATAAACTGTCAAAATACGTATATAAACTCAATTTCAGAATTTGTAAAGATCACAATTTAGCTACAAAATATACCAACCATCTACCTGTTTTTCAATAGAATATTTTCTTACAAAGATACCATTACTTTGCAAAATATCGCCTACCTTACAAAATTAAGTCCGGAAATTTTGCACTACTTTCAGCATTATAAACCATATATTAGAACCTCATTAACCCTTTGGTATATATCTTCAATGTTTTTTTATTTTTATTTTATCGTTCGTCTTCTATTTGGTTTAAATGTTCCAAAGCACAGTAGAATCTCCAGACAGAATAAGCAATGCGTGTTTAATCGTATAGATAATCAGCACACAATTTATTTGTCAATTATAGATGTTTATCATGCCCAGCAACTACGAACAAACTATTGTGAAATCATTCCTCAGAAACCTTTGTTCACCAGTACTCGTTCTACCACACTGTACTTTAAAATAATTGGACGTGTTGAATTCTCTTAAGAAAAGTCAACACCTTATTTCATGTGCCTCAGAGATTTTCAGGACTAGGCCTCTCACTGCTTTCTGCAGATCCTTCCCAAATTTGATAAACACAGCAAACATTGAAAAAAAAACAAAAAAAACCCAAAAAACAAAAAACCAACCCCAACTTTTTAAATTGTCAGCTGAGAAAGAGTAAACATAATTTATACCTCTAGCAAAGTATTAGCTTTTTTTTGTTTGTTTTTTTTTTTATCATCTGCACCTGTAAATAACAACTTACAGGTTAAAATAAAAATATTTACATACAAATAACTGAGAGAAAAAGCAAGGACTGAGAAAGAGTAAGAAATCAAAACATATACTGGTTATAAATGTGACTAATAATGTCAACTATGGCAAGGATTCCATTTCATCCACGTTTTAATTGTAACCAAATATTGCCTCCACTACAAGAGGTATCTGTAGAACTTTGCAAAGAAATTCTAATCACCTGCCTCGTAAAACGTGACTGTCCTTTTACTGTAGATGCAATCTTGACTTTTTTAAGTTTCCAGTTGTGCCAGCAGGAATTTTGGTGAGGTTTTCTTGTTTCCTTTTTGTACTTTGTCACCAACATGTTGTAAATAAAATCTATATAGTCTTTAAGTTGTGAAATCTAGGTAGAAAAGTTTCATTTTTGACCTTTCATCTAGTTTAAAAAATTCAGTATAAAAAAAAAATTTCTCCTCTGAAATTTAAACAGTCCACAAAAGTTTTACCTTCTTTTCCTACACACTTTTATGACAGTAAAGATCTTTCAAAGTTTTTAGCTCTTCAATTAGAGTTTTGTTCTGATTTTCCAGGACCGCAACACGATTTTCCAGACATTTAACATACTCTTTCTTCTTTCGGCGGCACTCTCGAGCAGCTTCTCTGGAACAGACAAGCAGAAGTGATTGTTTATTTTAGATATGAGATGTGTCTGGTTTGTGAACGTTAAGATACCGAACAAGACCAGAGGAGAGTGCTGGCACTGCCATCGTGAACAGAACAAACAGAAAAGCTCACAGCGACAGGGGGGGAAACGGGAAATTGAACCATATCGGGTAACACTCGGCCAGTCTGCAGGGAAAAAAACAATTTTTCTCCACACTGAGAGACAGAAGGTGTAGCGTATTTGGGTCAGAATTTCCAGTGGGTTTAGTCGCTGGATGCAGCATCCTGTACCAATGGCACAACCACTAAAGTTAGCTGGCCAGACTCATCGTTTGACCTTTGAAGATACCCGTCAGCACACCAAACAAATCAAAGCAGCCCCCGTGCACGCACATACCGGTTCTTCATCAGCCTGATTTCTCGTTTCAACTGCGGATCGTCTGTCTTACTTGTCTGTGATGTCAGAGTGACAGGAGATGTCATCACCACGGTCTGGGGGAGGGACGTGGTGGTCGGGGTGGTGCGGATCTGGTAAGTCTGCATGTCCCCCGACGCAGCTGCCGCGACAACAGCACGACAGATCAAAACGTGGCAGCGTTCAAGTTACACCCCCGCGCTGACGGTGGGTATTTGCAAGCCCTCCCCGGAGGTTTACTCACTCTGCACTACCACCTGGTTGCTGGGTACGAGGATCTGCTGCCCGTCCGACGTCTGTGCGTACTGCAGGATGGTTGTGCCAGGCTGAGCGCCGCCGGCGTTGGTCATCGTCAGCGCCTGCAGGCCCTGCACCCCGTCCGTGCCCGGGCTGGCCAGCTGTAGCCCATTTGCAGCGATGGCAACTTGTGGAGAGAGGAACACGTGTAACAATGATTGGAGCTGCACCTTATAACCTACAAAGGTCAAGGCTCTACGTCTATTCCCACTGCTGAAAAATACCACCACTTTCCAAAGGTTTTTTTATCTTCACAGAATCCCATCATCATCGGTGTTGGAAAGGACCTTGGAGCTCCTCCAGCCTGACCATGACCCTCCCCCTGACCCTTCCCAACTCCCCCAGATCCTTCAGCGCTGGCTCAGCCCGACTCTTCAACCCCCCCAGGGATCCCGGGGACTCCCCCCTGCCCTGGGCAGCCCATTCCAACGCCCAACAGCCCCTTCTGCACAGAAATCCTTCCTCAGAGCCAGCCTGACCCTGCCCTGGGCAGCTTGAGGCCATTCCCTGGGGGCCTGGCGCTGGGGCCTTGGCTCCAGAGACTCATCCCCCCTCTCTGCCCCCTCCTGGCAGGGAGTTGCCGAGGGCCAGGAGGTCTCCCCTCAGCCTCCTCTTCTCCAGACTGAACCCCCCCAGTTCCCCCAGCCGCTCCCCAGCAGACCTGTGCTCCAGACCCTGCCCCAGCTCCGTTGCCCTTCTCTGGCCACGCTCGAGTCACTTGATGGCCTTTTTGTAGCGAGAGGCCCAAAACTGAACACAATAATCGAGGTGTGGCCTCAACCTTCTGTCGCCTTCTACCACCAGATCTGGGTGCTGGGTTCTCACTGACCAGCCTGGGTGTAGGCTGAGGTGTTGGCAGTGGGGTACAGAAGGGGCAGCCTCTGGGGAGCCCCGGGACTGCCCCGTGCCAGCCTCACCCGGCGGCTCCGCCGTGAAAATGGGCTCAAGAAAGGGCAAAACTCCAGCTGGGCAAAGGAGCGGGGAGGTGAGAAACAGCAGCACGAGCCCCCAGCTCAGAGGAGGCCGGGGAGCACAGGGGGTGCCCCTGGTGCTGGAGCAGGCTGCGTGCTGCTTCACAAGCACGGGGAACACCAGCTGATAAAATCAAAGGCAAAAAAAAAAAAATTTTTTTTTTTTCTCCCTCCCTGATATCACAGGAACACCTTTTGGTGTGGCCCTATGATACGTGTAACGGTATCTTCACTGATGTCACATTCTGGACTAACCCAACACTACAAGACCACCAGGTACTTTGTAAGAACAGCCTCTGAATGCCTCGTCTCAGCACGTAAAATCTGAGATAATGAAGCACTGAGTTTGTCTGGAGTCTTTAGGCACCATGTAATAACACTACTAACTTTACTGACTGTTAGATAAATAACCAAACCTTTTGAATTTCATCTTAGTCAAATATATAACAAAAAGAAAATCTGTATTTTGAGCCAAGAGGAATAAAAAAGTGTGTCCAGTTAGGCAGAGATCGTGTCCAACGTACTGTACTGTCCAGTGCTCGTCTGGTAGATGGGCGTGGGAACGGACATAGATGTAACAGTGGAGACTCCAGGACTCTCCTCATCTCCTTTTCTATCACGAGTATCTTCAGAAGAAAGATCTTTCAAAATTTTTCTATTAAAAAAAAAAAAAGTTTCTTTATCAGCTCTAATAGTAGGCAAAAACTACAAACGACTGCAACAACAGTTACAAGCTACTATCCCCATCTTGTATTACAGAAATAAACACTAAGGTTTTGACGTACAACAATTTGGGGAATTAACAAAATTTTGTATGAGGCGGCTGCCTCAAACTCTTCCTGTAATTACATTTCTGTAGTTTACACAATCTAGGTTTTTATTTAAATATTCGAACCATTTTATGAGCTAAGAGCAATTCAAATCAGCCGATTTACAAAGTATGTGTATGTGCAAACCAGCAGAACTTCCAGATTTCCAATTATTATCCTCTAAAAGCCTTAAGGTGTTTGGACTGGTAAGGCTGAAACGAAAACCTGCCCCATTTACAGTATATTCCAGTAATCTCCAGAAAATTAAGGGTGCTGAAAACTAGCACTGCTGCCCCATCATTTCATTTCAGTACAAGCTGCATCGGAGTCTGCATCATAAACATTTCCCAGGGCGATGTAACTGGCCTATTTGGAGATTTTCCTGATTTACAACTTCATCCTCTTGACTCTCTCAAGAATAGGCTTTGTATATCCAATTAAAACCAGTCTGCTCTGTCCGGTGTCAGAATAAACTGAAAAGGACTAGATTACTATAGAAAAAGTTTAAAAATTACATCTTTTGGCTCTTTCAGTACACAGCAAGATTTTACGTTTCTTTTCTGCATTTAATTTAGCTCTTGCACAGCTTCTCCAACAGCCCGAGCCCTATATAACAATACCCTCTGCAAACAGACACATCTCTATTTAAAAGAACCATCAACAGAAACATGAATTTTATGCATCTTACCCCAGGCCAAATGATGAATTAGTGGCAATTAAATGAAGAGAAAAGCAGAACTGACAACTCCTGATCCCAAACCCGCACGGCTAAACAGTTCTCTCCCACAGAAGCTCTGCTTACAGCCTATCCTGGCTACTTTAACTGAAGATTCAGAATTGCTCTTTTCCACCACCGTTTTTGACTGCATGCAAAATAATAAAAATCCCTCCTAAGTTATCTGTTCTGGTACATAATTCAAGATGAGATAAAGCCATCTGAAAGTACTACAAAGAGCGGAAAAAAAACATTCAAAAAATGAAAAGCAGTGGCAGAAGTGGGGATGGTAATGGCAGGCAGAAGTATCAGGCAGGTTCATAAACTGCCTTTGAGAATTTTCAGGACGTTACTGTAAAAAATATTAGACTTCGTGTCAAGTTTCTAACGAATTTCTTATTTGAAGAGCTAGGGTGTAGCATTTCACTACACCCCTCTTTAGTAAAATAATATAATTGAGTAAAAATACAGCTGAGAAACAATTTTCCCTACACCCCATCACGCTGAAGCTGATCTCTAGTCATTACGGCAAAGTTTGCTCGCGGGAAGCGACAGCGAACACGGCTTCCTCAAAATGTTACAGGTCCAACACGTGTTCCAAGAGAAAGAAAACAACTGGTTGACAGACTACACAGAGTTGATGGGAGAAATTGTTATTTTGGTTTCAAAGCAAAATACAAAATCTATTCCGTATGGGACTTACCGGTACGAGGGACGACGAGCTAAGATGCCTCGAGCTTTCTGGGAAGAGCCGATGCTGTCCGATGAGTCCTGAGAGTCCTCACTCTCAGACAAAGATACCTAAACAACACACGCCACGTGGTCAGCTGGTGCACTTCCCAAGAAATACCCCGAGCAGATCACACACTTTAAATGTGTATGAGCTAAAGCCACATCAAAACTACCCGAATGCAAAAAAAAAAAGAAAAGCTCAAAAGATTCTCCCAAAACGATTTATCAAGTTAAAAGCTGAAACACCCCCACCACCACCCCCAGCATCTGAGGTCAGCTGTTCTAGTCTGGATTCAACTGCCGGATTAATCGATACAGGATTTTTGAAACAACAGCGTGAAGAAACACAAATGGTTGATTATTTTTATTAAAATCTTACAGGCCTAACTATCTTAATAATCGCTGATGTGGTCTGAAAAGGTGAGCCACTGCCACACGTAAACCTAAGGAGCTGGTGGGGAGGAAAACAGGAACACCATTTGTACACCGAGACAAACGCGAAATACTCGAAATCTTTCACGTGGACAGAAGAGCAGCGTATCCCGTCGGTCAAAATATGAGAGTCAAACAAAAATAATACTCCAAGCAGCAGAATATCAGGGATTAGACATGCAAAGTATTATCTATAATTTTCTCTTTATTCCACCGTCTCCTCATCTAGTTGGCAAAGTGTTATTTTTTCCTCTGATGCCCCTTATTAAATCAAAACTAACAAAACGTTTATTTGTACTCCTCTGTGCGCCAGCACCAAAAAGTCAAGAAGAATGCATGAGGTTCTGGGAAAGGCATTTCTCACTGAGCTGCTACGGAGACAAAAAGAGCAACCTACTATCAGCATTTTAAAAAAAAGCTGCTCATGTTATCACTTTTTTTCCCCCCATTTGAGCATCAAGGCCACAGTGTTCATAAATTACAGGAAAAAAAAAAAAAAAAAAAAAGGGAAGAATACGGTCAGTGGGGACCCTGCAACTAGAACACGGTGATAGGAAAGGGATTAGTGGAGACTCGAGTAAGGAACCTACTAAAACAGATGCTTCACTGTTGTCAGCAAAGCGAGATGTGTTTTCTTTTCCACGATCTGATGTTACAGGAACGACGACAGCTGGAAATGCGTTACAGGTTTACTTTTCAGGGTTTATCAACTCCGTGTCGTACGGACAGATAAGCACAGCACGAGGGATCAGTGACAAATGACGGCGGTTTAGCCCAGTTCTCCCAGTCGCTCGGGCGACCAGGCATGGCCAGTGCCACGGCCCAGAGGGCTCTCTGCAGCCAAGGCCTGAACGAAGCAGGAACAGGCTGGGCTGTGAACTCCCCAGGGCACGGCTCTGAAGTGGCTCGTACAGAAATCACATGGCCAGTGAGTAAGAGACACGAGCAGGATGCTTAGGTACCACACGGACGGAGTTAGAGCGGACGTGAGGTGAGCAATCCACTGCTCAGCGGCATCGCTCAGGCCCACCTTCTCCAAACACACATTTTTCTCACTGGGTTATTCTATACTCTCCTCACTGGGGTGTTAAAACACACCGGTTGCAGGTCTGTTAAGAGCACCAACTAGACAGCTGTGGTTTTGGTGGTTTGGGTTGTTTTGTTTTGGTTTTTTTTTTGTAGTGGGAGGCAATGTCAAATAGTTTAATTTCAATTCCAAAAGCAACTTGAGCACTACAAATCATTTCAAGCCTAAATGATCCCTGAGAACGACGCATCCCCCAAATACCGTCCCTGCGTTGCTCGCTCTGACAGCGGGGCCAGAAAGGCTGCACTGTCCCGCGTCACCTGAGCCAGACAAGCCCTCACAAGCCTTTTCACAGAGATAAATCAGGATTCTGGGTTATTTGACGGACATTCTGTAGTTACCTGCACTGTTTGCACCTGAGGTGAGTGGATTACAGAAGAGGACTGAGCTGTCTGAATGACTCCCTGGACCTGGACTTGTTCTCCAGGAAGCTGAACGACTGTCAGGGGAGCAGGACCTCGTAGAGACATCTACAACAAATCAAAGAATCATTAACAAAAGTGTTCGTTCCACAGTATTCCGAAAATGTATATACACGTAGGAAAACCAGGGGAGAACATGCACGAGCAGAAGCTTCTTTTAAGTCCAATTAAGTCACGGAAGGCATCCTCTAAAGATGCACATTTTTGAGATGCGTATCTGCATCCAAAAAAAGGCTGCAACAGCTACTGATTTGCCTTTGGTTAGGGGGGAAAAATCAAATATCTAACGTTATGTGCAAAAAATTAAGTACATGCAGTTCTAAGTGAACCACAACGAGGCAGATTTCTTCAGAATCACAAAGCTGAGACTAAGTGAGCGCGGCTGCTTTCATGTAACTCCATCCATACGCGCAGACAAAGCCCCACATTTGTGGCAGTTTATTTCCTAAAGTTTTTATTTCGTTTTAAAGAGTGTGTCGGACTTAGATAAGCAGAAATAAAAGTGCCTGATAAGTAGCCTTAATTCTCACTGAAGTTAATAGGAGCTTAGGGCACTAAAATCTCAATCAAGCCGAAATGACCAACAAGACCCAGGGCTTAGGACAGACCAGAGCAACAGCACTAAAGTGATGCGGAAGGCAGAGTGAATAATGTACATATTTGGTGATCTTGGATGATTTTTTTTTTTTAAGCAACCGCTGTGAGGCTATGGTTCGAAGATTTCACAGGGAAGAAATCACAAGAGTTAAGAACAGCAAAAACTGACAAACTGCTTCGAAAGTTCAAGGCACAAGGTGTGTGAAAGACACCAGAGCAGAAAGGAAACTCCAGGAGACGAGGTATGGGAGCTCTGGACGAGGAGGAACAACAAAGAGCAGACTTTTCCAAATGAAAATTACAGCATCTGTTCTTTAATGTTTTAAAATTATCAATTTCGATTAATGTTGTAGCCGGAATCTCGGTTTAATTGGACAAAAAAAGTTAATGACTACTGCTACTCCTACATAAAGTACTTTTTACAAGACGTTGAACTCGCACGAGCCTTTGCACTTAAAAACTGATTAAACACGTAGATGCGTAAGTAAATAACCGGTTTCCTCACCAAATTTCTTCGCTACTTTGATTAATCTGGAATATATGAAAAGATGAAGGGATCATTACAACTCGCAGAGCTAACTTCCCATTTAATACTACTTCCATCATGTACACCGTAGCGTTAAGTTACGCTGGCAACCTGATACAAAACCAGATCAGCAAACCAGCCTGTAAACAAGAACAGGATGCTGGCTGATACTCTATCCTGTCTGCCTCGTGCACTTATCTAAATTTTGCATCAAAATCTAAATCGCCTCCAGAGGGTAAACAATGGACGAGCTGCAAAACGTCGTCGCTTCTGAGGCAGAAAGCTGAATCACGAGGAATTCAGGTTAAAGCTTTGAAAGTGAAGTTACCTTGTAGTAAGTATGTCAAATTTCCGACTTCATATGATTTATGACATTAAATACATTCAGGTTGGGCTAAAATCCAAGTGTTTCCATGGTGCCGAGCACCCCGGATTGCCATTACTACAAAAGGAGCTGTAAAAGCTTTTTCTGGAAAAAAAAATGAAAATCAGGCCCTCAATTAATTACTAAGCAGCTCCTGTATGTCAGGTCGATGATGATTTCAAAGGATGTACAATCTAACAGAAACGCTGGGCTGCATTTTTGCATTGCACAAGCACAAAAAAAATAATGTTGGTCTTTTGAACACGAGCCATTTTATTACTTTTGTGTCGTCCGTCAACGAGCAAGGGTGTTTTTCTCAACGCTCTTTTGTTTTTTTCTTCTCTGCGTGTTTCTAAAACTCAAGAATTATAGTTTGTATTACATAAAAAAAAAAAAAAGGCTCTTAACTACCTCAAATGTTTGCTGAGATTTGGCCCAGGCTTTACCTGTTGAGCAATATGAGAGAGCTGAGCTGCCTGTAGTGTTGTACCTTGTACAGCCGGTGTTTGTGAAGGCGTCACTGAACTGTTGCTGCTGCTCTTGTGCACCTCTTCCATAATCAGCTACAAGAAAGCAAGGAGTTAAATTCAGTTAATGATAAATTGGAACAGCAGACAGGTGCCCAACTTCCACCAGCACTTCATCGACTCTCAGCGTGTGAAGCTGCTGGTCTCGTTTGGACATTTTGGTGTAGTCCTTTCTCCGACGTCACTCTCTGCTCTGGACTCACACACCTACCCGCTGCTGGGCTTTACTCTCAAACATATTTACTGAATTTCCTGCTTTTTTTTTCATAACAGTAAACAAAGTCGTGAGATCTAGGACGAAAAGCGAGATAAAGCGTTTATACTAAATAATATGTGGCTCCGAGTAAAATAATTCTCCGAAATATTTTACCCCAGCTACCAGCCAAACCTATTTTAAACCATCTGAAGGTGTATAAAAACAAAACAGGGATTCAAAAATCAAAGTAGAGAGAAGAGGGCTTTGAATTTTAAACCCTGCAGAAGTCACTCTGTCTCCGTGTAACGCGGGCAGTAACACTTCTCGCCTTTCTCAGATTTCCTATGTAACTGTTCAATGTCTTGACAGCATCCCCTCTCCAATATTGGGGATTTAGTGATGTAAAAATGCAGGGTTTGAGGTGGGGTGAGTGGGTGGACCAGCCTAGAGCATTAAAGGATGATCGGTGAGTGTTAAACATTTTGTCACAGAAGGTTTGAAACTGTTGAAAGGACAGTTGCTATGAGACTGGAAATTACATTTCTTTCTGTGGAAATGTGAGTCATTGATTTTTCCCTACTGAGATAAACCACAGCTCTTGCAGCCTGACGTATACTTAGAGGGTAAAAAGTCAATGCACACCGAGACCAGGATCTTGTTCTTGCAATCCTTACTCATCTGAGGAGTCCCGCTGCTCAAATAAGTTACTAAAACAGGACTTTGTGGAGAGAAAACTGGTGGTTGGGCGATACATGAAATCGTGTCTTTTCCAGCATGGAACAGACGTTCCCCAACACACAATCCAGGTTCCCAATGCGTTTATGTCTATGAACACAAACCGATTTGTCTGGAAGTTTAAGCTGAAGCAGCAAAACAAAGGTTTCACTCTGGAATAAAAAAACTCCCGGGAGCCGGACAGTGCTTCAGCCGTTCCCAGCTTCTGGAAGGAAACCTTCGGATAATCCAGACTATCCCGACCGCCTCTCCTACGACCATTGTGTCACCCCTGCTGCCAGGGCCACAGTGCCACGAGGGCCACGGTGCTCCCCCTCCACCACATCTCCCCTCTGTGCACGAGCTGGGGAGGGGGCCCCGGCTGACACCCCGCTCGTGCCCGCAGGAGCAGAGCGCTGCAATTTGAACATTTTCTTTTTTCTCGGTTGCTACTGCTGCAGAGCTCGCCTGTCGTAGTTTTCCTTGTCAGAAAAAACTGTTTTGGCTTTTTTTTTTTGGTGTTAAGAAAGAAAATGGAGAACTAAAGTATCTTGAAGCTATAAAAAACGAAGAGGAGAATTAACGGCGAGCGCGTCTAAGGGGTGCAGCTTTGTCTACCCTCTAACAGTTTTAGCTTTTTATAACGGAAAAAAAAAAATCTACATTTTGTAGCACTGCAAAGGGAGACATGCTAAGTGTCACAAGTAAACAGGGCACTGTCAAACTGAAATCCAGTCAACAGCTAAAATTAAAATAAATTTCCAGTGCTACAGAAATACCCAATTCATTTCTGTAGTGCTAAACCACATTCTGTCTCCCTCTCTCTCTTTTACTGTTTTTCTCTGCCTTATTGTCCCATGAAAGACTCACAACAGCAGCAAAATAGACTGTAAGTGAAACCGATAGATGTAAAACCACCCAAAACAAACAAACTGGGGAGAAAGCACAAAGGTTTTTGCTGATCTTTCTCTCATAGGTGTGAGGTCCTACTTACAGGAATAAAAGATAAAATATTTCCCATTATAAATATGATTTTTCAAGTTTACTTCAGCTCTGCTTGCTCTGTACTATTTAACTCAATATTCATCCAACATCTATCGACTTCAGTCAAATAATATTTATTAATTTTAAAAGATTTAGCAAGCAATTGTTACAAGGTGAACATTCTTACTGTATCTTCCATCCTCCACCAGATAAAGGAGGTGCAGCACGCCAGCTGGCCTTGCACGACTGTCTCACAAGACTCACACCCCCCTATCTCGTTAAAACAACCTATCTAGCTGGAAAAACACGAATTTGCCGTTGGAACAGCCTGCTGTGAACACCTGAAACAGTGATCCCCATCGATCCGCCGTCAGAAAGGCAATTCCAATGAAAAACCTCAACCTGCAAGTACCAAAGATGGAAAATATATTGGGGTTTCACCTTTTTTACACCCCAGTCAGAACTACTTCCAACAACAGAACACGCATTTAGCTGAAACCAGCTGCACGGTTTGGGGTGAAGGAAGAGTTTGACGCGTCACAGAGTACTGACAGGAGGGAGCTCATCTGAAGATTTATTAGCTAGAAACCCAACAATTAGCAACACCTCGTGATTTATTAGCCAGAAAATAATCACTGTTCTAATTTGTATGGAAACCATGGGATGTAAGGATGATGCTTTTCAGCATAAAAAGAGTGCCTCCACACAGCTGCACCTCAAAAGTAACTGAACTGAAAGGGTTCTGCAATAGCAGCATTATGAAGCGTGTTTTGAAGGGCTTTTAAACTTCTGAGAATCTTCTCCCTCCAGCCAGAGAAACTCACCTCACTTCAAACGTGAGCCTCAAACGTATCTTCCTTTTCAAACAGAAATAGGAATGCCCCGTTTCATTGTGGGCAAGTTTAACTTAGCATCCAGAAGGTGGTATATACCCTCCTAATACCACGTTCCACAGTTTGAACCGCCACTCTGGCAGCATTCAAAAAAACCCCAAAACGGCCAAGAGGCATCAATTAAATAAGCAAGAACAACCTATTCCCACAACTTTCACTAATCCTGATGAAAAATACCCTAAAATGCTAAAGAGACGGTCCCCTTACAGACATACAGTGCCCCCGCAGTAACAATCTTCACCAGATTTTTATTTCAGTGTCCCATAAACCGTCTACAGCTCTCTTCTGTATTTTGGTTTCGCCCGTTGATGATCCAGATTATCCGAGACAGCGATTGTCTCCAGTTAAACGCTAAAATAACGGATTCTCATGCTTCAAATGAATGAAATCATGGATTGCCGGCCTCAGGTGAAGCTTCAAAGCATCATCAGGAGGCAAAGGATAAGATAAAGGAATATAAAAACTGTACATTAAGGCAAAGGGAAGTGAGCCGTAGGGCCAGAGCACCAAAGGAAGAAACCAAGTTCTGGTTTTTCCCTTTTAAACCCAGCAGAGGAAAGGCCGGGATGGTAATTCAGCACTGAAATATTCTAAGAGCTAAGTGATTTTTTTCCAGAAGAGTTTGTAGTCAGAAATCAAATTTGAGAATTTTATTCTCAAATACTGACGAGAGTCAAATACTGACATACACAAATTATAGAAAGTGTCATCTGCACAGAAACATTTGGTGAAACGATGCTCAAGCAATCTGGTGAAATTTTGGATTCTTTAATGTCTCAAAACGAGCAAACAAGCTGCCTTCAGCAGCTACAGCAGCTCATCTACTTAATTTTGCAGTTAAGACATTTGGGGAAAGTTTTTTTCATGCGGACTGACAGAATCCTGTTGGTTTTTTGGTGTTTTTTTTGGTTTTTTTTTTCCAGGAATCAGTGCAAGACAGAGGCAAAGGACAGCACATCCTACCAGTTTGTGCCAGAAAGCAAGTGAGGAGACCTGAGTCAATGTACCCAGTTACAATTTTGGAGCCCATTCTCCAAATACACACATGAATACTCCTTAAAACTTCAGGAGTACTTTCCATATGTATTTTCTTCCACACACCCCCCCCCCCC